CCATGTCCCGCCACCCTATCTTGGAGCCATCTTACATATCCTGTAGTATACACTTTAAAAATGAAATTTAAAAAAACACAAGTACTATGTTCTACTTCAGAAACTGGCCCAGGTGTGGGTCACACAGAATTCTGCATGCATTTTATTAACTAACTTTAGATATATATATATATACACTACTCATTTTTCAGGATGACACTATCTACGAACACACATAATCTAACATCTAGCACCTTATCTCCAAGAACACTTACATTTTATATACAGTTACAGCTTACATTAGGAGAATTACTACAAAAAGGAATACACCACTAAAACAAGACAAAAATACCAAACTTTTAACACTAAAGTTGTATCACAGATGAAAAGGGGAGAAAATCCACTCAAATTTGAAGCACCAAACTAAAACCAATCTTGTGTTTGTCTATATTTTAGAACAAGAGAGATATAATAATTAATCCTCAGACATAGCAAGCCTCTAGTAGAGTGTACAACTTACTGTGGTTTCCCCTTGGTGTGTGTACTCTGAGATATGGAGGCTTGGGGAGGCAATGATGGAAAAGCCTAACTCCTATTGGCAAGCTTCATTTATCTTGAGGATTCTTATTCCACTTACCAAAGAGCAATGAACTTGCCAGTAAAGTGGCAGTCAGTGGCCAAGTTCAGTGGATTTTAGCTCTCCTGTTTCTTCCTCTAGTCAGTTTAGTTGCTTATAGCAGAAGACTGCTATAGGCAAGCTGGGCATTTGCAGTAGAGGAAGAAGTGTTTTTGACTAATTGGAAAGAATTTATAATGAGGGTTTCTCTTCTTTGGGGGTTTTAGGCTCCAGTCTGCTGTTTCCAGCTCATTGCTTCTGTCTCCTCATGCTTAAGCTTAGAGGGGCTTTGCAGGGCCAAGAGCACCAGTCCAGCCCATAGAAAATAAGAGAGAGACAGAGATAAGGAGGGAGAGGGTTAAAAGCCATGACTGACCATATTTTCTCTCCTTATCTTGGCAACTGGCTAGCAGCCAACTGTTCCTATAATCTTTTGCCTGCTCTAGCAGGAAAGGACATTTCGCTTAGAGAAACCTCTTCTGACAGCTTGGGGTTTCCTTAAAGAGGAATACAACAGAAAAGACATTATGAGGGGAAAACATTTTCACTTTTTTTTTCTCAAAATACAGGGTTATGGTGGTTATGCGAGAAAAATACAGTTTAGTCATTTATATTGTTATTTTTAATTTTATCTCAACAACCCCTGAGGGTTTTGTATCTTAGAGAGTTCAAATTACCAGATGAGGAATAATTTTTTTTCTTTTCCAAATGATGTGTTTTAGACACTTTTAAGAGCTTTTTGGCAAAGTCTAAGAAAGAAAGCCTAGTTTAATCATGTAAATTATTTTTCAGGTAGTATGAAAAAATGTTCTGAATACTAGCTTAATCGGCTAATTATGTATAAAATAAGGCAATGTTAGGCACCTTATCATTTTATAAGTAAAAGATTCTTTAGCTTTTTTTCCTGAAATAATTGTGTCCCCTCCCAAAGATGTGTTTCATCAGGTGCTGTTTTGGTAAGAAATGAGGGGCCTACCTCCTCCTAAATCACAAAACGGCACTTTTCCTTACCTGTTACATTTGAAGTAGGTATCCCATCATCTCTAAATTGAATTGGAGTTGGGGAGGAGACAGAAAGATACTCTTAATTGCTGGTCACTCCTATGGCTTTCTCTTTCCCTGCTTCCATGGGCCCCAGGTCCCTATAAATCTGTCAGCTCTGGGTTGGGAAGGGAAGGATGGGGAGTGCGGGAGCGCGCACAGAGCTTCAAGCAGGGACTATTCCCGAAGGGCCAGCATAGCAGAGGCAGTGGGAGTGAGGCAGGTGAAGGCAGTGGGTGTGATGGCAAGAGGTAGGCAGGGAGCTGGAAGTGCACAGGACTTCCTAGCAGTTGGCATGTGTAGCGTCTTAGAGATGGACCCTCGCATCATAGAAGTCACGGAAGCCCAGGGCTGGCTCCTTATTACTGTCTTCCCAAGCTTGTTGAAATTGGTGTGTTAGTCAAAGCACCTGCGACTCCACGGCAAGCTAGATGTTCTATTATTCTTAAATAAGGAAATCATTAAATTTAAAACTACATCATTTTAAAGTCTGGTTTGTCTGGCCCCCGTACTTTAATGGGATTTTTTACTGCACATCTGAAGTGGCCTTGGCAAAAGAATACATCCTTTATAAACATTTAGGGAAAGCTATTGCCCATGAGGATCTGTGAGGCTAATGATGACTTTTTTGTGTGCTTTCAGATTTTTCAAATGACAAAACAGTATGTGCAGTAAAACCTCATTAAGTTGATAGTGCTTTATTCAAAATAGCACAAAATTTGAAGTAGTTGCTATCTCCAAGCTAACCAGAGGCTCTATTGTTCCCTAAGAAGAAAATGTCATCAAAGCAGAATGCTTTTAATTCAAAGGTCCTCTTTTCCAGTCTCCTATTTTCAAAAGGTCTTCACCTTTGAGGAATCCAATTTACTAAAAGAATGGACAACAACTAAAATAGGGAAAAGAGGAACTTAAAAAAGGAAAGCAGCGAGTCTTGGTTCCCCTGGAGAATGTTGTGTGTGCGGTTCAATGGACTTACCATACTCGTACAGGTCTGCTTCCATTTTGATTTGGGATTTTGGCAAACAATTTTCTCTGATACACTTTGAAGGGGTTGAGCTTTAAAAATAAAACAAGAAGTTCAGTTTCAACAAAAGGTTTGGAGACACTTAGATTTGAAATCCGGTTTCCTATCCAGGTAAGCATTTCTACCTAAAGGACAAGCTATAGCTACCCTAAACGCTTTTGACCGTGACAGACTTAAGGCAATATCCCTCCCCACATAGGAGGATCCATCCCATAGGCCATCTCTCCACCCAGTTATCCTTTAAGGACAGGTTGGTACAAGAGCTCGGCAATACATTCATGACTATTAATTCACTTTATACATTCCTGTAGAAAAATAAATGCAGTGCAAGGGTAAACTTCAGCCCCTATGCCCTGTCTGAATTACCACAAGTTCCAAATGAATGGAGTTGGAATGGGGTTTTTGTGGACATATTGATTTGGCAAATCAGCTCGATATTGTTTTCTTCTACCTCCTCTCCTTTTCTAAATTCTGCTCATGGAAATCCTAAATTCCCATGTGGACTTATTCGCAGCCCCATAACCTTGCTGTTTACCGCTCCCCCTTGAGAAGTTCATGTTGGAATCTGTGAGGAGGAAAAGATAAAATATAAATGAGCTGGGCATTTATATAAATGGAATTTGAGTTCTGATAAAGACATGGTAATCACACAAGTCTGAGGCTAAACTCTGAACATGGCTGTCTTTACACACAACCCCTTGATTAACCATTTTCAACCAAATACAGCTTTCTCTCCCTCCACCCATATTAACAGTGGATTTCTGTACACACAGTTGGTTGGCTATACAGTTGCTTTAATTTGGTCTTCGGGGAAGACCAAAAACACTGGCTTGATTATTTTTTGGTTCCATGTTATTTGGTCATGTAGATATGGCCTGTGTCCTTAGAAATACACAGGCATATCCCTGTCCGAAGTGATGTCAGGGTTTGGGTTTTGAAAAATCTTTCTATGTATTGACCCTAGGGATAATTTATATATTGTTATGGTTTCCCCAAAGTGATATATTTCAACAATAATAACTGGGACATGTTTGAGTGGAATCCTTTGATTTTAGGCTTGTTTGGAATAGGTCAAATGTTTGCCTGGTATTGTGAAACCATCCTATTTGTCATTTCTGACTCTCTTATATTTCTCTCCTGCATCTGCAGAGAGCTTAAAAGCTTTAAAGAGAGCCACAAGTGGAAATGACCCATGTGTGTGCCTGGAGGAGGGAAAATGTTCATCCTGCCTTCCTTGATCCCCACGTGGAGATCGTATTTTCTTGCCTGTGATCTCACAGGCACACAAAAAAGATATTTCTGATGGTCACATTGGTCTCGATTGGTAGTGTGAGTTTTGTAGGACTTTAGTCACTCCTAGTTGAATTTCTTTTTTTTTTTCTGAAAATACCATTTGACGCCAAAAGGCCTATTTAACAAAACAAAATAAAACGTGATTGTCAGAGAGCTGGAGAATTCTGAGACTCCCAGCCACAAAGGGGAAATTCTAAAATAGTGATAGGATTTCTGTCCCACTATTACGCAAATAGGAGACAGAAAATATTTTTATGTCAATTGACAATTTTCCATTTGCAGTCCCAACCCATACATCAACCCAGGATTTTATAGAAAAAGAGTCAACTGTTTAGCCCAATGGATGTGTGTTGTTTCTCTATCTTTTCCCTTGGACTAGCTTCCTATTTCATACATTCCCTCCCCCTTTTCTGGATCCCTTTAGGGGATCTAGAAACCTTCTTGGTATACTGCACAATGCCCTTTGTCTTAGTGTGCATGATAGTCTTTGCACCAGCTTGTGAGGCTCTCCAGTTCAGAATTGGGTTCATAAGTTGATCAGTCCATTAGCTTCTGTTTTCTTGGGCTCCATGAATGATTTGGTCCACTGCTTTTCTTTCAGTTGAGCATAAAAGCTGTATCTCTGGCCCATAAGCTTCTAACCTGAGGGCTAAAAAGTCCTAAAGTTCACAGGCATCACCTTCCTTTTCCCTCAGAGCTAACACTGGCATGTTGCAGCTCTGAGGTGACACACAGAGTACCAAGTACAGGTCCAAAATGGATAGCCCTTTTGTTGCCTTACGAAATTTCGAGCCTGATAATCATTGAGGGGAAATTTCCAGTCAGAATCCTCAAGTCCCTGCTCTGAGGGGCACAGTTTAAAGGGAATACCCCAGTTCCTACCATGTCCATATATTTATGTAGCTTGTGGTGAAAAGGATGTGTGAGCAATACCTTTGCCTGAAATGGTATGGGTTGGCACTAATGGGATTGTGGGTGGTCCATAGAGAAGAAAGCTGCTCTTGTTTTGGGGTTGTGAACAGTTCAAGGTTTGCCTTAGAGCTAACTTCAAGGCGAAGTAGCAGAATCACGGGAAGGGACAATCTTGCCTTCGATCCCGCCCTCTGTGCCAGCCTCGGTTCCAGGCAGGTCGCGCTGGTTATCTTCTGTGGGGGGCTTATTCTTGCCAAATAACTTCTTCAGCACATCCTGGATTTCCTTCTTGATGGTCTTGTGCATGTAGCCATAGATGTAGGGGTGGATGCAGCACTGCAGGAAGAAAAGCCAGATTATTATGGTGATCACCCACTGGGGTACCTGGGTTTGGACATCCACCCACAGGGCCAGGACTGCTAGGAAGCAGTAGGGCCCTAGGGAGAGCACGTAGGAGAAAATGATGAGGAAGATCACTTTAGCAGCTTTGCACTCGTAGCACCTAGGCAGAGGAGGGTCGCTGTTGCTATTGCGACGACTGGGTGGGAGGCTCTCTGGGATGTTCACTGCTTCCACATCATCCTCGCTGAAATTGATGTCTTCCTCACCAAAGTCCATGTCAATGTCACCCAAGTCGATGTTGCACTGGTTGACCTCTGCCCGGCCCTGGTTTGCCCTCATCCTGTTCTCTTCATCTGTGCCGCTGCCTTCAATATCCTCCATGCTTCCCTCACTGGTCCCCAGGCTTCCGTGCTCGGCTTTCATGCTGCTGTTTTCAGCCTCCATGCTGCCCTCCATGACCTCATCTTCATCCTGGCTGTGGAATGCACTCTCACCCCTGAACTCATCCATCTTCTCGGCTCCCTCTTCTTCGTTCTCATTCTCCACAGAGTCCTTGACCCGCACCCCTAAGCTGTGGCTCTTAGCATTGTACAGCAGAGCATGCTGCCGCCGGGCTGCACCAAACACCACGGTGTAGCAGGCAATCATGACAGCCAGTGGGATGACCATGAAGGACACCACGCTCAGGATGGTGTAGCTGGGGCTGGACCCCCAGATCATGGAGCAGAGGGCATTGCGCTCATCAAAGGTAGCCTGGCCCCAGCCGTAGAGTGGGGGTGTGCTCTGCAGCATGGCCACAATCCAGGTGCCATAGAGGAGCAGGTAACCACGGCGGTGGGTCATCTTGGACGGGTAGGAGAGAGGGTGGATGATGGACAGGTAGCGATCTATCGACACCACGATAATGGTGTTGACGCTGGCAAAGGCGAACAGGTGGGTGAGGCTAACCAGGGCAGTGCAGAAGTGGCTGTTGAGGGGCCAGAAGAGAGGCACGGACGTGGCCACCACCCAGGGGGCCACAAGCGCAACCTGCAGCAGGTCGGTGACGAGGAGGTTAAAGATGAAGCGGTTGGTCACCTGCAGCAACTGCGGCTTACGCTGCAACACGAGCGCTAGCACTATATTACCAACGAAGGCGGCGCCGAGGAAGATGAGCAGCACGGTGGCGCGGATGATCCCGTGAGCCAAGCTGATCGGCATTTTGGAGAGGGGCACGCACGCGTGGCTGTTGTTGCTTTCTCGTGTGCTGTTGGTGCAGGTGGATGTCATAACCACAGCCACAGGGCTGTAACAGGGTCAGCGCGAGCACCAGCCAGCGGCACAGGGGTGCTCAGACGCGCTCAGTGCCTATGAGGGGGACAAAAGAAACATGCGGGCGGGATTAGTCCCCTGCCTGCCCGGGTGGTGGTGGGTTGGGTGGGAGGGAGGGGGGAAGCTTCTGCGCCCAGCAGGGGCTCTGCAGGAGTCCCTTCCCCGGGCCTCCACGCTACAGCTCCTTCTCTGGCTCGGATCTCTCTCCTGTGTCTCTCCTGCTTGCGCGTGCACGCGCTTCCTCTGCTGGTCTCGCACACTATCTCTGGGTCTCAGAGTTTTGGTCTCTCTAGCTAGCTCTCCTGCTAGCGCATGCGCGTGCGCTCTCAGTCCCCGCTTGTTTATGATCACCAAGATCACCAATTTCTCTCTTTTCACTGTTTCTCGCTAGCGCGCTTTTTCTGTATCTCTGAGGATGTGTGCATGTAGGTTTCTCACCGTTTTCTCTGATTCTTTCTGCCTCCTGTCTCTCACTCTAACGTCTGTCTCTGTTTCTCAGTCTCTCGATAGCACGTGCGTGCTGTCTGTCGGTCTCTGTCACTCTCTTCCCTTTCTGTCTCTTTGTTGCTCCCGTCTCTTTCCCTTCTCTCTCCCTCTCCCTCCCACCTCCCCCTGCGGTCTTTCGCTAAAGCACTTTCCTGTAGTGCGCGCTCTCTTCGTCTTTTACCCAGTCTTGTCCCTGTCTCTTTCTGATCCTTCTGTCTCTTCCTGTCACTGTGTATCTCTCACTAGTGCGTTTGCTTTTCCGTCTTTCCCCAATCCTGCCTCGGCTCCCCATTTTCACAGCTGACATCCCTAACAGTCCATCTCTGCGAGTCCCTAGCGCACCTGTTCAGCATAACTCACTGTAGGTCTCCGTCAGCCTCCGTGTGTCTCCAACTCTGCTTTCCACGTCTTCCTCGGGTTCTCTGTGTGTCTCCTTGCGTCTCTCTCTGGCATGTGTGCGCTTGCTCTTTCTAGGCCCCCCCCCGCGTCTCTGTCTCTCCCCTGCGGTTTCTGTCTCACCATGCGCAAGTTCTCACTGTGTCACTCTGTCGGCCTGTCTCCTTCCATTGGTCTCTACCGCTCCACTGCTCGCTTCACCTCTCTCTCTCTCTCTCTCCATGTCTCCAGCTATTTCTCTAGTGTGCGCACCCTCTAACTGGGGTCTCTGTCTTTCACTCTCTTGTCACCCTAGGGCTCTGGCTAAATACTTTCTCAGTATCTTCGAGTGTATGTGCGTGCGTGCGTGCATCTCTGTCTCTCTCCACCTTTCTATGACTCCTCGCCTTGGTTTTTCTCTGACTGGACCCATGTCTCTTTGGACCTCTGTCTCTGTTGACTTTGTTTTGCCGTGGAAACGGGCTGCCCCCCTTGGCCACCATGGGCATTAGCGGATAAAACGCCTAATTCTCCGCAGTACAGCAGTGACAGGAGAATGCAAGGACGGCGCCTACTGCACTCTCCTACCCTCCTCCCCCAAGTAGGCATCTTCCCTGCATTCTCCAGTCCTCTTGGTGGTGGTGGCGGCGGTGGTAACGGCGGCGGGGGTAGGGGAGCTTGGGGAGCATGAGAAAGAAGGCAGGGGTACTGGAGTGGTAGGGAGAGTCTGAGAGAGTGAGAGAAATTGAGAGGCAGAGAGAGAAAGAAAATTAGAAATAGAGAAAGAATGAGAAACATACGGAGAGACAGAAGATGAGCGACGGAGAGGGAGAGAGAGAAACAAGAAAGACTAAATGAGAGCGTGAAAGAGAAGGAGAGACACAAACCGAGACTGAGAGACAGGGAGAAACAGAGAAAAACTGAAAAGGGGAGAATAAGAAAACAGGATGAGAAACAGAGAAAGAGAGGAAGGATGAGAGGAAAAACCCGAGAGAATTAGGGTGGGGGGAGAACGCACGAGAGAAAGTGCGCGGGAAAAGGTGACGGCGAGAGGACGGCGAGGAAAGGAGAGAAGGGGTCTCCCCGTGGGCCACAGCGCGGGTCGGTGCGGCAGCTGTCGGGCCACTACGGACGGGGCGTCCCGGGCACCCAAGGTCAGGGGCCAGATGGATGCGGGGGACAGCGGCGCCCGGGACCCAGCGGGGCCACTTACCTGTTGCTGCTGGAGGTGTCTCTCCGTGGGCTCTGCGTGCGGGTCCCGGCCGCCTTTCAGGGCGCCGGCGGCTGCGATCTCGCTCGGGGCAGCGCGCTCGGAGGGAGCAGGGCCAGGTGCCTGTGCCCGCACGTCCGGCCGGCGCGCCGCGCTGCGAGCTCTGAGCGGTGGCGGGGGCGCGCGGCGTCTTAAGGCTGCGCGGTGCCCTCACCTTGCGGCGCCCCCCTCCTCTCGGCCCCCGCCCGCGCTGGTGACGCACGAGGCTGCGGGCGCCAGAGGAGCTGGGCCTCCGGGTGGGGGGCGCTGCGACAGACCCCCCCCCTTAGATTTCCTCACCCCCGCGTTCCCGCCCCAGGCGCCCAGAGCTCACCAAGACCTCAGGGAAGGGCTGATTTTTGTGCAAACCCCATACATTTCTAGTCCCTGGATTTCTGGTCAGGTCCCAGGCACAGTCCTTGCGAAGAGGAGGGCCCAGGACTCTGGCCTTGACTTCTGAAGACCCTGCAAAGTATGAATGGCCTATGGGCCTGAGAGAGGAACTGTGACTTTGATGTCAATGATTTTTCATGAATTATTTTAGCTCCCAGGAAGAGCTAAACAACAACGCCTTTCCTGTAGGTTTTGGGAGCATTTCCTCTAAGACAGGCTGCATTATTATCTACCGCATTCTTTAATTGAAGTCTGTCTTTCTGTAAGTCTCTGTCTCTCTCTGCCGGGTACTGTGTTAAGCTGTTTATGCAGAGAACGCAGCTGAATTGTTACCTCAGCCTTGTGAGATAAGTACTGCTATTATCTTTATTTTATTAGAGACAGAGGCAGAAGCCAAGAGAGACTACCCTACTTGCACAAGTTCAAGTAAATATTGCACCTGTTTTATTAACCAAGGCATTCTGGTCTCTTCTGAACATATATTCAGGGTTTGCCTTGAAACAGGCTTGAGCAGGCACCAGGAATAAGACTCCCTCACCCCACCCCGCAGGAGAGGATATGAAAAGTGTCGCAGACCAGGGCCTGGGTCTTGGGTCCCCAGTGGATGAGGAAGTGTTTTCTTCCAGGTTGGACAAAAGGGGAAGGGTGTTCTGCAAGAAGGAGGTGCATGGGCAGAGCTGGATGCTGAGGCTGGGAAAACAGGCTGCAGCATGGTGAGGGCCAGGAGATAAGCCGGTCACATCCAGTAGGGGCAGGTACTGAAGGCCTTTGAATGCCAGTCTGAGGACTCTGGACTTCATCCTGAGATCCCTGGAGGGCCAATGGAGATTTGTTTTATCATGAACAATTTCAAACATACATAAATGTAATGCCAATAATAAAATAAGCCTCCATGTTCTCATCATCCAGCTGTGACAAGGATAAATAGTTTTCCATTTTTATTTATTGATGGTGTTTGGGTAGGGCATTGTGATGAGGTTTCTGTTCTTCCAGGGTCTCTTAAAAGCAGGGCTGGGGTAGGGGAGGTTGAGTGGTGAGTGGAGAATGCAGAAAGGAGGCAATAGCAGGAGACACAAGGAGGGTCTTGACAAGTCACATGGAGGGCTGCGCAGAGACCCACAGAGAGGCAAAATTCACAGTGGAGAAGAAGGGCGACGGGATGTCACGGAGGGTCTAGCATAAGCATAGGATTCAAAGTTGTTCAATGGGCTGGATGGAGATGCTCCCTTTCCCGTCACCTGCCTCTGGGACAGGGAGGGAGATGAGACAGGTATATGATCAGGCCCCAGGATGCTCTTTGGATTTGGAGCCCTGCCTTTGCTCTTAGATCATTTGTCTTTCCCCGCCCCTGCCCCCTGCTAGGCTTGATCTATCTTCCCAAGTTGAATGGTAAAAACCTGGTCATTTTTCCTGGGGACAGTTTCTGTGATAATCACTCACAGTTATTAATTCCCAGCCTCATGTTAGCACATGGTGCAGAATCCTGGGTGGCATGCACTGTCACGTAGAAGTTCGTTCAGACTCGATTATTGTACAGTGTCTTGGGGGGGGCAGTCTAACAGCTAAAAGTGGCCCGAGATAAAGACCGGTCCTGGATCTTCCTTTTTTCTCACTGTGGTTTAGAGAATGCCTATACCACTGGGATCCAGCAGGGGTCAGGGAGTAAACTTCTAGATCAGTGATTTTCAACCAGTGTGCCGCAGCACACGGGGATGCTGTGAGAGGATCTTAGTTAGGTGTGCCTCAAAAAGATCATTAATTAAATTATTTTCAAAAGAAGTTCAAAGCACAGTAAGTAGATTCTTTTTTTATTCTTTTCTTTGATTAACATAATTTAAATGTGCCATGGAAGTTCAACTATAGGTTCAAGTGTGCCGTGAGATAAAAAAGGTTGAAAAACTTCTCCAGACACATGTTAAATGTGAGTAACTTTGCAGCCACACTTTGGGGCACTAAGGGGGATGACAGGGAGTGAAAGAGTCTAGGTGGGATGAGGCCTGTGCAGTTGAGGCCAGCCTGGTTGCCAGGGAGATGCTGGAGAAAATGCCAGGTACTTTTCTGTAGAGGAACGTGTTTCCTCTCAGACATGAACTGAGTTGGTATCCTTGGATTTCAAAGACATCCAAGTATCAGCTCCCCAACTGGAAGTATGTGGGGCCTTGGGGAATGTGGATTTGGCTTCCAGCCCTGCACGCTCTGATTCTGGTGGCCTTGGAAAAACGCTTCCACTGACAAGCCTCGTTAGATTCTGAGAAGGTCTTTGGGATAAGACAGGGAGAGTTTGGGATGATGGCTCAAGAAGTCACTTAGTCCATTTCCCTACCTGTATTCAGTAACAGAAATACAATCAAGCTGATGGTATTAATGGGTCAGGGTTGAATGGCAGGAAGTTACTAACAAGAAAATGGTCCAGGGCTTGATGACAACCACAAGTTGAAACACCACTCAGCACAGT